TATAAAAGCTTAAGAAATGTATATCGTATTGTAAATATAAAAGCTTAAGAAATGTATATAGTATTGTAAATATAAAAGCTTAAGAAATGTATATCGTATTGTAACTATAAAAGCTTAAGAAATGTATATCGTATTGTAACTATAAAAGCTTAAGAAATGTATATCGTATTGTAAATATAAAAGCTTAAGAAATGTATATCGTATTATAACTATAAAAGTCCGAAAGAAAGATTTAGAACACAAAACTACATTAAAGCGTATGTTTATTTAGTGCAGTATTGAAAAGTATTCTTTTCTTTTCATCTTTTTACTAAAAAAATGTAGCTGAGAAGCAACTTAAAAGTCTTTGAAATTTTTTTAATTGAAAAATAGTTCAGTTGAAACTTGAACCTATGAAATTGTTAGCGATCCATTCTTAATATAAAGAAAAGAAAATTGTAGAAAACGTTATAGATTTCGAATTAAATTCTTGGAAAATTTTCTTTAAAAATCTTATTAAAAGGGTCTTTATGCAGAAGTAATCAATAAGAATGATAAAAAATTCTTTTTATTTCATTTTGATTAAAATGAGAATAATTTAATGATAAATAATAATTTTAGGTTCAGGAGAATTGTGATATCGGATTTATTCCATCCCCCGCTAAACTAGAAAACCTCAGGCTTCAACTTCAACAGAATAAAAGTGCTAAGGAACATCAATCAATCAATCAATCAATCAAAAATATCAATCAATCAATACATCAATCAAAAATATCGGTCGTAAATTGATTAATCATTTCATTCGTCAATTATTCAATGAAATAACTTTTGTTTAATCAGTATATTAATGAATCAACTCAGGAAATTAATTTAACAATTTTTAACTCGATTAAAAAATTTGTCTCTAAATCAATTGATTAATAGAATAATAATCTAATCAATTTTTTTAAATAATCAATATTCAGTTTATTAATCAAATCAATAATCAATTCAGTTTTTAATCAATCAAATATTCCAAAGTTTCAATAATTGAATCAAACTAAACAATGTTTCGCCAAATTTCGTATGAAGTAAGAAATGTATATCG